AGGATTCAGTCCAGTTGCCATTTGCATTTGTTGTCACATCTCAGTCTCCTCTGGTCTGTGATCCTTTTTCAGACTAGTGTTCTCATGGGCTTGACAGTTGTGATCTGTACCCTCAGTAGATAAACTTCTCCTCTCCCCGTAGCCCTGTGAGAAGATATAATTATGCCCGTTTGGTAGGTGAGGAAATAGCCATGGTCTCAGCTGGTGAGAGTGGCTCGGATCCGATTTGAACCCAGGTCCCTGGTTTGTACCCACATTTCTGCCTTCAGAGCTGCGCCTTTCCACTCTGCCCTATGTTGCCCCATGTTGCCTCTTCCCTCATGTTGGGATGGCAAATATCTGGTGCCAGGCCTGGCCCTTGGTGGGCATTGCTAATCCATCATAACTCCTTTTTCAGATGAGGCTGGCCTCGGCTGCAGAATTCATTGCCACAGAAGCCTCTAGTCAGGCATCTGGAAACCATCTTGTTACGTCTCTCTGAGGGCCTGTGGGGAGGGTCACTTAGGAGGGGGAAGGGGTTTTTCAACTCCAACAGGGCTCTCTGACCACTTCCTCCAGCCTGGGATGAGTCCTCAGTGTCAATCAGGCTGCCTATGGAGCTGTGAAAGGAGTTCCGGAAAACAGCTGGTCCTCCTCCAGCTCAACTCTTAATCCCAGGCTCCCTTTCATTTGACAGTGGCCTCCTAACTGGTCTCCCCCTTCCACCTTGTTCCTCTCCAAGCTGTTCCCAACCGTACACTGAAGTGTGGCCTTCTCCTGCAATGGGGTCCGTTGCACGTACAGAAAATCCAGCCACCTGATTATGACCCGCGAGGTCCTGCGTGAAATGACCCTGCCACCCCTTCGACCTCCTCTGGGTGCTTTGCCCACTGCATCTAGCTCACTGGCTTTCCTGTAGTGCCAGAGCAGCTAAGGTGCTTCCTACCACAGGGCCTTTGCACATGTGTCCTCTGCCTGGACGTTTTTCCTCTCTACTTACACGGCTGACTCCTCGTCCTGCAGGAGTCCAGCTTAAGTAGTAAGTCCTTGGTTACTCTCCACCTTCCCTTTTGTTTCCCTATGGCACTCAGAAATCATAGTATTATGTACATTAGACTAAGCTCCTTAAGACAGGGCCGGGACATTTCTGATTGTTTACTACTATTAACACAGCACAAATGCTGAAGGATGCATTTATTGGTTCCTACACTGTGTAAGAGGCTGTGGGGAATACAGGGACCAATCAGACCCTGTCCTGCCTTTCTTAGTCATGGCACAGTGTTTCAGTCCAAGAAGCTCAAGTAAAGGTGTTTATTCCAGGTATATAGGGAATCTCATGGAACTAGAGGCAAGAAGTGGAGGCCGGGATGGCTAATGGCTGTCATTTCCAGCTCATGCGTTGGGCCTGGCATTGTGTAACGAGCATTACATACATGCTCTCACCTTTGCCAGAGTCCCAAGAGGGAAGTATCAATGCCTCTACTTAAAAGATGTGGAAATTGGGGCTCCGAAGAGGAAACTGGCTTATATTGTCATATGATACGGTGGCGGAGCTATGATTTCCACCCACGTCTGTTGACCAAAGCCTTGATTTACCCCACATCTCACTCTAAAGCCATGCCGTTCACTGCCTGTTTGGGTAAGGGTGGCAAGGGGGTGACTCTGTCTGTTCCCTTTTCCTCAGACCCTCAGTTCTTGTTCCTTTGTCTTAGTCGCGGGTCATGGGTCTCAGAGTTCTGACCCCATCCCAAAGCTATGACCCAGTAACGATGCACAGCCCAAAGTCCGCAGAGTGACTTTGCCTCCATCTCAAATCCCAAATCAGAGAAAATCCGTCACCGGATTGGGTTCGGTGTTCTTTTTTGGCCGGATCGGCTGTGGGTGTGTGGATGATGGGGATCAGCTTGGGGGTGTGGGGCTGGCAGGTTTTCCTTTTAAAAGTTGGGATGTGCATGGCAGGCATATTGTACATTTCTCAGAGGGGGCTGGGAAAGGTGTGAGTGGGTGGGCAGAATCTGCATGGTGTAGGAAGTTTGAAAGATCACAGACAAGCAGGGTTCCTGGGAGTAGGGAGTCAGTGGCCCCGTGTAGTTGGACAGATAGTGGAATCAGGAGACCTCTGGGGGATGTGAAGGAAGAAGAGAAGTGGCTCAGCAGAGGGGAGGAGGTGACTCAGATGGAGACAGGGCATGAGCAATGGGATGGGAGTAAGAAAGCACTGGTTCGGACTGGGGAGCTTAATTCATTCAATGGGATTGTTTATCAACAAGTGGCTCACTGGGGATCTTTTCATGTGTGTCCTGTTCCCTTCCTGGGTTAATTGCATATCCCTTGGAGGGCGGGGCGTTGGATGTTTTGTTTCCCATTGTGTTTTGTATTTACTATTGTCCCTGGCCCTGGATTGGGGTGGGGGACTGCGGGTGTGTAATGGGAATCTAGTCCAGGGCATGGGCTGCAAAGGGAAATCCTCCAGGAGCTTCCCTCTTAAGCAGCGGTTCTCAACCTGTGGGTCGCGACCCCGTTGAGGGTCAAATGACCCTTTCACAGGGGTCGCCTAAGACCATCAGAAAACACATATATAATTACATATTG